GTGCAAGCTCCAGCGATCCATTTATGGACTGGTGCAAGCCTCTCGGAGTTGGAATATACGCTTTGATAGTGTGATCAAAGCATATGGTTTTATACAGACTTTTGGAGAAGCCTGTATTTACAAGAAAGTCAGTGGGAGCTCTGTAGCATTTCTGGTCTTATATGTAGATGACATATTGTTGATCGAAAATGATACTGAATTTATGAATAGCATAAAAGGATACTTGAATAAGAATTTTTCAATGAAAGACCTCAGTGAAGCTGCTTATATATTGGGCATCAAGATCTATAGAGATAGATCAAGACGCTTAATTGGACTTTCACAAAGCACATACCTTGATAAAGTTTTGAAGAAGTTCAAAATGGATCAAGCAAAGAAAGGGTTCTTGCCTGTATTACAAGGTGTGAAGTTGAGTCAGACTCAATGCCCGACCACTGCAGAAGATAGAGAGAAAATGAAAGGTGTTCCCTATGCTTCAGCCATATGCTCTATCATGTATGCAATGCTGTGTACCAGACCTGATGTGTGCCTTGCTATAAGTTTAGGAGGGAGGTACCAAAGTAATCCAGGAGTGGATCACTGGACAACGGTCAAGAACATCCTGAAATACCTGAAAAGGACTAATGATATGTTTCTCGTATATGGAGGTGACAAAGAGCTCGTCGTAAACAGTTACGTCGATGCAAGCTTTGACACTGATCCAGATGACTCTAAGTCACAAACCGGATACGTGTTTTTATTAAATGGTGGAGCTGTCAGTTGGTGCAGTTCCAAGCAGAGCGTCGTGGCGGGATCTACATGTGAAGCGGAATACATAGCTACTTCAGAAGCAGCAAATGGAGGAGTCTGGATGAAGGAGTTCATATCCGATCTAGGTGTCATACCTAGTGCATCGGGTCCAATGAAAATCTTTTGTGACAATACTGGAGCAATTGCCTTGGCAAAGGAATCCAGATTTCACAAGAGAACCAAGCACATCAAAAGACGCTTCAATTCCATCCGTGATCTCAAGTCAAGGAGGGAGACATAGAGATTTGCAAGATACATACGGATCTGAATGTTGCAGACCCATTGACTAAGCCTCTCTCACGAGCAAAACATGATCAGCACCAAGACTCCATGGGTGTTAGAATCATTACAGTGTAATCTAGATTATTGACTCTAGTGCAAGTGGGAGACTACAGGAAATATGCCCTAGAGGCAATAATAAAGTTGTTATTTATATTTCCTTATATCATGATAAATGTTTATTATTCATGCTAGAATTGTATTAACCAGAAACTTAGTACATGTGTGAATACATAGACAAACAAAGTGTCACTAGTTTGCCTCTACTTGACTAGCCCAATGAATCAATGATGGTCATGTTTCCTAACCATAGACATGAGTTTTCAATTGATTAACGGGATCACATCATTAGAGAATGATGTGATTGACTTGACCCATCCGTTAGCTTAGCACGATGATCGTTTAGTTTGTTGCTTTTGCTTTCTCCATAACTATACATGTTCCTATGACTATGAGATCATGCAACTCCCGAATACCGGAGGAACACTTTGTGTGCTACCAAACGTCACAATGTAACTGGGTGATTATAAAGGTTCCCTACAGGTGTCTCCGATGGTGTTTGTTGATTTGGCATGGATCGAGATTAGGATTTGTCACTCCGATTGTCGGAGAGGTATCTCTGGGCCCTCTCGGTAATGCACATCACTATAAGCTTTGCAAGCAATGTGACTAACGAGTTAGTTACGGGCTGTTGCATTACGAAACGAGCAAAGAGACTTGCTGATAACGAGATTGAACTAGGTATTGAGATACCGACGATCGAATCTCGGGCAAGTAACATACCGATGACAAAGGGAACAACGTATATCGTTATGCGGTTTGACCGATAAAGATCTTCGTAGAATATGTAGGAACCAATATGAGCATCCAGGTTCCGCTATTGGTTATTGACCGGAGATGAGTCTCGGTCATGTCTACATAGTTTTCGAACCCGTAGGGTCCGCACGCTTAACGTTCGGTGACGATCGGTATTACAAGTTTATGTGTTTTGATGTACCAAAGGTAGTTCGGAATCCCGTATTTGATCACGAACATGACGAGGAGTCTCGAAATGGTCGAGACATAAAGATCGATATATTGAAAGCCTATATTTGGACATCAGAATGGTTCTGAGTGGTTCGGGCATTTTTCCGGATTACCGGGAGGTTACCGGAACCCCCCGGGGAGTATATGGGCCTTATTGGGCCTTAGTGGAATAGAGGAGAGGGAAGGGAAAAGAGGGAAGCGTGCCCCCCAAGCCCAATCCGAATGGGGAGGGGGGCCGGCCCCCCTTTCCTTCCTCCCTCTCTCCTCCTTCCTTCCTCTCCTACTCCTACTCCTACTTAGAAGGGCTCCTACTTCTACTAGGAAAGGAGGGAATCCTACTCCCGGAGGGGGTAGGACTCCCCCAGGGCGCGCCATAGAGAGGGTCGGCCCTTCCCCTCCTCCACTCCTTTATATACGGGGGAGGGGACACCCCATGGATACACAAGTTGATCAGTTGATCTTTTAGTCGTGTGCGGTGCCCCCCTCCATCATAATCCACCTCAGTTATATCATAGCGGTGCTTAGGCGAAGCCCTGTTCCGGTAGAAACATCATCACCGTCATCACACCGTCGTGCTGACGAAACTCTCCCACGAAGCTCTACTGGATCTTGAGTTCGCGGGACGTCACCGAGCTGAACGTGTGCAGATCGTGAAGGTGCCGTACGTTCGGTACTAGGATCGGTCGATCGTGAAGACATATGACTACATCAACCGCGTTGTCATAACGCTTCCTCTTACGGTCTACAAGGGTATGTAGACGATACTCTTCCCTCTCGTTGCTATGCATCACCATGATCTTGCATGTGCGTATGATTTTTTTGAAATTACTGCGTTCCCCAACATCCTTTCCCTTCCTCCCTGACTTCGCTTCTCACGCGCGTGAGCTCCCCCTGCCATGGCACCTCGGCCTATGCTCCATCCACCGCCTGCCATGGCCGGCCCCAAGCGCCTCCTCCCAGCCTCGCCCGCGGTCCTTCTGCATCTCCTCCGTGACCCCTGCCTAACGCCAGGGCCGAGCTGCTTGCCTCCCTTGCCGTCCGCCACCATTGACTCCCTCCTGCCGCTGATGTGTTGTTGGCCCTCGCCGTCGAGTGCGTCATCGGTGGCCTCCTCCATGCCCTGGGCTCCATCCAGCTCCGTCGCCTCCCAGCGTCCTCCTGCCTGCGCCGCCCCATGGCTCTCCCGGGGCCATCACCGACCACCACCCTACGACGTTTGGCCTTTGGACTACCACTCACGCAAGCACGTGAGTAACGACGCCGGCGACTCAGTGGTGACAAGGTCACACGCCAGGCGGCAGCGGCTCGTTGGCGTGCTGCAGTCCAAAGAGCTACCGCCAGTGTGCTGCTCTACTGCTGGTAAGGTGTTTGTTGAAATGACAAAGAGAGAGAGGAGGAAGAAGGTGATGCTGACATGTGGGGTCCACCTATCGTAACGGTCAACTTAATGGTCCGAAATAACAGAGTTGACTTTCCCACCACGTCAGCCTTGACAGACAGGTCCAGCATGTCATAAAGCATTTAAATCGTCTGAACTGGCCATTTTCCGAAAGTGGTAGTTTTTAGTCACGAGATTCCAATTTTTTGGTAGTTTTCGGTCGCTTTTTAAAAAGTGGTAGTTCCGTGGGACGGAAGCCTCAAATGTGGTAGTTTTTTTGTCAAACACTCTGTTTGTCACCTTCCTACCTGAGATGACAATATATTTGCCAGGTCATTGTCACCGGCGTATTCTAGCTCCAATGTCGACTTCACACCCGTTGCTCAACAACATTTCCCTGGCTCTGATGGTGTTTCAAAGGCCCGGAGGCGACATCAAGCTTTGCTCAAGGCGCTCTGCGGGCGAGCGCAGGAGAAAGACAACGTCGATTTCCTAAGTACATGTGTGTAGTTTTGTTTGCAAGTATGGCCTTGTAGGGGTGGTTGACTGTATATGACTTTTGATCTTTTTGGAAACAAGAGGTTTGCTTACGTCATGATGAAAACCTAATTGTCATGAACGGGAAACATTATGTTTAATTAGTTTGTGTGTTGATGGGAACTATAGAAACCATTGAGAGCTAAAAAATAGGTTTTTCCTCACAAATGTGTATAAAAACCTATAAAAGGGATGACGACACATATCACACATTATAAAACACCGAGGAGTCGGTGAGCTTAATAGTACCTAGCAACACTAGCACCAAGGAAGCGTCATGCTCGTCGCATGAAGCAACACTGAAAGATGATGAAGTGGGTAGACAATCATCGATATCCAAAGTGACTATGAAATATCCATATTCAATGTAGATTTGGGTTCACCTCCAACTACAAATATCAGGCAATTTTGTTTTGACGGTGAATATCAGGCAATTGCAATAATGGGGTATAAACTGTTGCTGCTAAATGTTTATTGTAACTTCAACATTTTATTTTGGTATAATGGTCATTGTAGCACTTTACTAAATTAAACTAAGATAACTCATTAGTTTCAACCCTGCATTATCATGTAATATCAAATTAAAACATGTTATTTGCATGTAAACCTCATAAGTAGATTAAGAGATCATGATTTACACCTTTCTATATTTATTTATTTATACCAAATAAATATACTAAAAATAGGTGTGCCTCAGCTTTGAGTCACTTATCCTCTACAATACAATATGAGTTTCATTTTATTCATATAAAGTCAATTCGACAGATCACGTTTCCCATATGAACACATTGATATAGAAAACAATAGAAGACTTCCAGAAACTGATACAATTTCACTATTGTCACCGCACACCAACCAAAGCGCATTTCTTTTTTCATACAGATATGTATGTAACACACAAATGCAGTGGATGGTACTCTAAGCAAGTAGGTGTTCTTCCATTACATGGACAGACAAAGGAGCCATCGAAAACGTTCCAGAGAACTTGAGTTTATTCTGTTCCGGCGATCTTCTTCTTCAAGCTCTCGATGTCGGTGGCCAACTCTTTCCTGCTTTCCTGTGAGAAGTAAGAAACACCAAAGCATCCATGTAAATTAATAATCCTATGCAAAATTGGCCAATTCAATCCAAACGCACACAAGATGTACCATGTGCTAGCATTGTTATACCTTGAAGAGGAGGTAGCGGTAGACGAACCACCCGGTGTAGCCGAGCCCAACCAGCTCCAGGAGCTTGGGGAGCTGCACAAAGCAGACCACAGAACATCATAAATTCATCATCCACCACAGTTCAGAGCTTGGGGATTAACTGCGAAAAAACGCAAGAGGCGGTTAATTTGGTCAGCGTGCACGTACCAACGGCACGGAGTTGATGGCGCCGACGACGACGGTGGTGAGCCAGAGAGCCACGACGGCGCCGCCGCTGTAGAGGAGGAAGGTGGGCTTGTCCTCAATCGCCTCCCACTGTCACACAGGAGAAGAGAACGGGTGACGATAGGCACATTGTGCAGGAGCCAGGAACTGATATGCCCATACGTTTACGCAGGCAGGTAGCTGGTACGAACCTTCCCCTTGAGGTCCTCGATGATCTCGTCGCCGCTCGCCGACGTGTCGTCGGAGGCGGCCTTCACGCGGAGCAGGGACGGCCTGGGCGCATCTGCAAGCTCGGCGAAGTCGTCAGAGCCAAAAGAATTTCCCCGAAAAAACCCGGCTGATAGATACTACTAGCATGCATGTGCACCTTGGAGGCGGAGAGGGTGGAAGTTGCGCCGCGGGAGGAGGGCGGAGGAGCGGGGGGCGGCGTTGCCGGTGGCGGCGGGGAGGCGTGCCCCTCCGAGGAGGGCCACGGAGTACGCCGTGGCAGCCATTGATCTGTCAGTGCCTTATCGCTAGAGCTATCGCTTCCTCGGCCTCTCGCTCTGCGTTTCGCTGGTGCTAACGGAACAACAAAAGCTGGAACGGTTGTTGTGTAGGAGGGGCTCTTGTGCGGCCGCGCTCGCCCGCGTCTTTGGTCCCTCGGAGCGGTGACGTGGCGGCGCGCTTGGCTGTGATTGGCTGCCTCCCTATCTTCACATCCATGGATGGCCTCCCTGCCCTCCCGTACCAGGCATTCCTTTGGTTGGTGCCTGATGAGTGGGGACTGGGAATTTCACGGTTGGGGACAATGCAAGGTCGATTTGCATTTTGCTAGTACCACTCAGCTTCTGCATCTGTATGTTTCGCTATTGCAGCAATTTTTAGTTTTTTCTTTTATGAAAAAGACTTGGCCTCATACAAAAGTCCACCAGAAGTACAAAACAGAACACACATAATAAAAATCACTCCATCTGTAGATTAATAGATCATCGAATGATCACTATCCCATTAGAACAAGCCGCCGACGCCCAGCTCCCCTACTAAAGCCTGTCTGACCTCATCGATAACAGCAATTTCTAATATATTAGGGGATCTGTGCAACGTTTGGTTAGTCTCCTACTCCTATAGCAGTCTAAACGCAAGATCCTCAAATAATTAGTGCCAACGAGTTAGTATATAGCGCATAGTACAGACTGCCAGGATTGGCTAGAACTGGTCTAGCTAAGACATAACTATGCTCTAATTCATCTCAGCTGATGTCATCATAGTTGTATCTCGTTTGTTTTTCTTTTTGGGCTGGCCTAATGCGTGTTCTTGTCTTTTCTTAGCCTAGTAATTTTTTGTGTTGTGCGGCAAGAGGCTTGAGCACAACTACTAGTTGTTATTGCGACGCTGAATAGTAGCAGAACTACTAGTTGTAGCCACGATGAAGCTAGGTGGGAACTTGTAGGTTTAACTCAAAAAAAAAAGTGGGAACTTGTAGGAAAACATGTTTTAGGAACAATTAACATGACAAACTAATTAGCGAACCAACATGTGGTTGGATGGTTGGAGGAACTGTGGTATTCCCAGCCCATCAGAGTTTAAGTCCTAGTACTCACATTATTCCTGAATTTATTTCAGGATCTCCGGCAATGCGCTTTCAATGGGAGTAGACGATCTCGTCGATGATGAGGTGCCTACGGTGATTTCGTAAATCTCAAGAAGATATGCCGGCTCAGTCTTTCGAAGATGCTCATAGGGATAGGGTGTGCGTGTGTATTTATAGAGATGAGTGTATGCGCGTATGTATGAGTGCTTACGCCTATATTGTGTCAAAAAAAACACGACAAACTAATTAACCATGATTTTTTTAATTTCCTTTTGTTCCATTTCGCTATAATATGTTGGCAAAAATGGTGCCGCAATTATAATAATAGAGTTATGTCAATTTCCTGTTGCTCCATTTCTCCATATACCATGTGATTTTTTATTTTGTCAAATACAAAAAATGTTCATGAATTTCAAAAATTGATCATGAATTCAAAAAAATGCTGGTGAAACTTAAAAATCCTAAATGTAAAAAAAGTTCACGAAATTTTAAAAATCATGAATTTGTCGAAAAATCACAAGTTCCCAAAGTGTATAGAGATTTTTTTTATTTGAAAAAGCTCATGATTTTTTCAAACATGCAGTCACGACACTCCCTTGAAAGCATGCAGTTGCGACCCCGCTTGAAATACATGCAGTCACAACATGCCTTAGCAACTCCTCTTGAAAAACATGCATGTGATCTCACCTTGAAGACATGTAGTTGCGATCCCCTGTTGAAAACATGCAGATGCAACACCCCCCCCCCTCCCCTTGTTGAAAACATGCAGATGCAACCCGCCTTAATAACATTCAGTTGCGACCCCTCTTGAAAATGTGCGGTTGCGACCCGCCTTGAAAACATGCAGTTTCAACCTGCCTTAAAAAGATGCGTTGCGACCTACCTTAAAAAC